ATCACATTCACATACACACAAGAATGATCCGTTTGCTCTGGCCTTGGCACAGAAGTTGATTAGTTCCTGCCGGCGATCAAAACCTTTCAACCACAAAATAGCATTTGAAGGAACTATTCATTAAAATTGTAACTAAGTTTTTTAATAGTTATTAATTCCTTTGTGACACTCAGCAATATATGCGCGCAATAAAATTTTTAATAGAAAACGCGAAATCACTTCGATTTGATTTAGGTATTTTGGTCCACAACTTTTCCAATTAAGCAATTTTTGGTTGCTTTTGGTCACATGTGTGCCTGGAACATTTACTTAACTTTTTCTTCTAACATTTCTGACTATAAACTAATATATATTGTTTACTTTACCATTTTACGTGAAAGTTCGCAATTTTGTTTACCATTGGTTTGGGATTTTGCCACTTCTTCTTTGTCTGCTGTTCGTACTGTTTCGTTTATAACATCACAGCAAGGCTGAGGGTGCAATCTTCTTTTCTATCATTCTTGACATACACATACATCAGCATCCTTTTTGCTTGCTTTTGATTGACATTCTATGTTTCTCAAGCAACAAAAAAAATACATGGCAGGGTTGTGTTTGTTCTACTACCTATTTAATATGCCTTGGGTTTAAGTAACATGAACGAACGACACAAGATCACGCAAGAACGAGAGAGTGCAAAAGGTCGATTTTTTTTAGAGGGTTCTACGTCATCAAATTATTCATTCATTACTTTAAAATGTGTTTTCATGTTGAATTCTTTAGCTAAATAAAAGTGTAAAATAGTGGTGCTTGATGTGTAAAGAAACGCTCAGCTGACGAACCCGCTTTCACAATTTTTTTTCTTAAAACCAATTACAAATAAAACGTCGCGTTCTTGCGTGATCTTGTGTTTTTGTTCATGAATAAGTAATATCAGAAAGTTGGTGCAAATGTCGCATTTGTGGCAAAATTTACCACCTTGCGACACAGCTGATTACTTTTGTACGGAAACTTTCTTGCGACAAAACTACGACATTGCCGACATTTGCAATGATTGCAAAGTAAAAATCGAGAAACACACGTCTTTTTATTGTCTTCAAATACTTCAAGAAAAAGTATATCAGTTAACGTTGCTTCGAAATATAATTTTTAAAACTTTTTCTTTTCTCTTACGCGCGGCATTTTTTAAATATTTTACATTTGCAATCCGGGGTTGCGATAGGTCATTCATACAACTTTGTTCACAACAATGTCATTTCGCCAAAAAAGGCCACTTTGCGACGAATTATGAGTCGCACTACTAAAGCTGAAATTAGTCAAGAACGTAAATCTACCGGTACGTAAACCCGAGTCAGCTGACAACGATCCGTCTTAACAGAGCGCCATGTAAACGAAAACTCAACACCGCAGAATTTACGCTAATTTTGCAGAATTTTTCTGTAGTTGTAGCCCGTAGCGCAGAAGTCTGCGGAATTTAGATTTATCCGTGTCAGCTGATTTCTTCCTTCTATAGATGTTACCACTTCGTCAGTTTTGCAGATGGTAAAAAAAGTCATGTTCCTTTTCAAAATACGTTTGAAATATTTGAATTTTACTATTGAATAAGGTTTTTTTGTTGAAAACTAAGTAGTTTATATTTTAATATTTGTATTGAGCTTTGTACCACGATTGTTTTATTAGGAAACATTGAAAAAGCAACAAAGTCTAAGCGGTAGAAGTTATAGCACTATTTCGGAGATCACCACATCTCCTCATCAGACTTCTTTTTTCTAGACTTCAGCAGGGATCGAACCTGCGTATTCGATGTTCAAAGTCAGAAGCGTTAACCACTAAGGGCCGGGTACTCAATGTCTGGTTAACACTAATCTCCGGTTAAACATCGTTATCGACGTTACCGACTCCCTGTTGTATGCATGGAGTCGAAGACGTCGATAACGATGTTTAACCCCAGATTAGTGTTAACCAGAATTGAGTAACCGGCCCTAAGCTATGTACATCCCGTAAACTCTTGTTGCTAATTCATTTTCCTTATTTAACGAACTACTATCAAGTGCAGCTGATTTGCCGCTACTTAAACTCTAGAAAAAAGAAGTCTGATGAGGAGATGTGGTGATCTCCGAAATAGTGCTATAACTTCTACCGCTTAGACTTTGTGGCTTTTTCAATTTTTCCTAATAAAACAATCGTGGTACAAAGCTCAATAAAAATATTAAAAAATAAAATGTTAACAAGCCACAATAACATTGACAAATACATAGTTTAGGAAGAGCCTGCCTGAAACTATACAAAAAAGCAAATAAGCAAATGGATGTATAGAATTGACAACAACAACTACGCTGTCGAGTTTAAATAGCGGCAATTCAGCTGCACTTGATAGTAGTTGGTTGAATAAGGAAAATGAATTAGCAACAAGAGTTTACGGGATGTACATAGCTCAGTGGTTAACGCTTCTGACTTTGAACATCGAATACGCAGGTTCGATCCCTGCTGAAGTCTAGAAAAATGAAGTATGATGAGGAGATGTGGTGATCTCCGAAATAGTGCTATAACTTCTACCGCTTAGGGCCGGTTACCCAATGTCTGGTTAACACTAATCTGCGGTTAAACATCGTTATCGACGTCTTCGACTCCATGCATACAACAGGGAGTCGGTAACGTCGATAACTATGTTTCACCGAAGATTAGTGTTAACCAGACATTGAGTAACCGGCCCTTAGACTTTGTTGCTTTTTCAATTTTTCCTAATAAAACAATCGTGGTACAAAGCTCAATAAAAATATTAAAAAATAAAATGTTAACAAGCCCCAATATCATTGACAAATAAGTAGTTTATATTTAGCTACGATCTATTATAGCACGAAAAATTGTAGTTGAAAAGGTAAGTTTATGAAAAGGAATTGATGAGTGGCAACACTGTAGGAAGCAACACTGAGGGCTCCAGTAATCTACAAAATTCTGAGTATACAGCCTTTAAGTATACGTTCTGCGTTCTTGACTAATTTTAGCTTAACAGTGTAGTGTTTCGGAGTGATGCTTGAACCACAATAACCGGCGAACGGGGAAGTTCGCCGAATTGGGCGATGCCGTCGTTCACCGTTCCCCTGCTATTTCCCCTACTTTAACAGAATTAGGGCCGGTTACTCAATGTCCGTTTAGCTCTAATCTGCGGTTAAACACCGTTATCGACGTCTTCGACTCCATGCATACAACAGGGAGTCGATAACGTCGATAACTATGTTTAACCGGAGATTAGTGTTAACCAGACATTGAGTAACCGGCCCTTAGAGCGGTAGCGAAAACAGCTGATACCATTTCGTCGCACTTATAAGTTAGGTGACCATATTTTGAAAAACGAAACCATATTTAGAAATGATGAAATGATAACAAATATAAATATAAGGCAAGGGGAATTATTATAAATTATTTTATTTTAACCCAGATTTAACAAATCGATCACTGTATTTTTCAAACATCAAAAATAATTCGTGTTACATGCTGTTTTCTTTTAAATCTTTGAAAGTAAAAAAACATGCGGCCACCTTTGCCTTGTACTGCCGCCATCGCCCAGCAGAGCGATAGAAATAAATCTATCGCCACGAAACGCCGCCGAGCGAACTTCGCATTTCGCTATGGCTGTGTTCAGTTTCATATGCCGGCGGGTGTTCTAATTTTGACAGCGGTAATTTCGCTTGGTGAGTTCGCCGTTCGCCGGCATTGTGTCCACGGTGACTTGGGAGGAAAAGTGAGGTGATTATCGTGACAACTTTCGAGCCACAATATAACCAGTAAACAACCTTGGGTGAATTTGGCCAGGGATACCAGGGATGAAATTATTGGTACACACGCCTTCTAAGCACGCAGGGTTTGTTTTGAGAAACAAAAAACAATTTAAGCCCAAAATACAATAACGCAGTGGCAGTGGCAGTATTTGGAAATCAGCTGTTTTTTAGAAACTGTGCTGTGCAATGAAGCGACACACAATACAGCAGTGACAGTTGGCAGTACTGCTCAGCTTAGCCCAAATTCTAAATTCACTGCCACTGCCTTCATTGCAGCAAACTTCAAGTGTCGAATTTGACATAAATGAAACGCAGCCAACTTCTGTTTGTGTCACTGACAACTAAAATTTTTTGTGAAATTGGCGCGTTATTTTTGGCATTTTTGTGTTTTCCGCGGGCGTTTTGGACCTTTTATAGGTAAGTTTCTTATTTTTCAGTCTTTTATTTAACTTACAATGTATGTATGTATATATGTATAAGTGTATACATTAGTTGCGTTCCACATGCTTCACGATTTGCAGGTTTCTACAGGAAGCTGTTCCAGGTGACCACCAGGTGAGAAAACAGCTTTTCCTGCAAATCCTGTAAAAACTGCAAATCGTAAAAACTGGAACGCAACTATTATAATTTTAAAAACCATGCTTCTCCACAGGAGTGCGATGGCTGAACGCATAATAGAATTTGTAAGAGACAACCCATGCATCTACGACAAGAAGCACGGCGGCTATAAAAACCAATTGCATAAAGACCGCTTGTGGCTTCAATTTTCAAAGGAAGCAAACGTCCCAGGTAGGCCAGTAGTAGATTGTGAACCCTTTCACTTCACGTACAGATTTTATTATAATATATACATACATATGTAATAGAGGGAAATGTTTAGTTATTTGCCCACTGTTTGTGGGTTAATGAGCGGAGGGGGAGGGGTCATGGGTCTTGATATCCAACCCACTAGAAAGAGCACAGTTCAGTATTTTTAAAAAGTCACACCTGACCCCTCGAAACCTTCCACAGACCCCTGGGGAACCACTGAAAAATGGTCTAAAATTAGCATTTTTACACCGGAAATATAAACCCTTTAAACAGTATTTTTGTGCAGAACACCTTTCTCTGTTGGTTCAGATTTTGATTCTGTGGGAAAAATCATGAGAATTAGTGGTTACTGGTTGCGCTGAAAGCAGTTAGAATTTTGTTGGGCTGTGCTATGTGTACATATATATGGGAGCATCGTACGAATGCTCCGTGCGTACTCCCTTGCGAGTTTACGAATACTCCCCATTGCTCTCCATGCTTCTGTATATAAGCATACTCCTTTTAAAATTGTGGCTGCATTTCTTTATTCATTCTAAACGTTTAGAATAAACTTTTTTGTTTACTTATTCTTTAGAACGTTCCTGATGATATGTTAACGTATATTTCAAACGCATTCTGTTTATTCTGGCTGTGAAATGGGATTATCTGGAATATATAAAGAAACGCAGCCTGTATGTCCTAGGAAAGCGAGTAATCCCTTTTACTTTCACTTTTCTTTTCAGTTGATGTATTGAAAAAAAAGTGGAAGTGCATCCGCGACCGCTTCTATCGGGTGCATAAAAAGAAGAGCACCGAGGCTGCGTCTGGTAGTGGGCAGTTGTCGCCAGACACCAAGTTATACAAAAACTGCGACAGCCTACTATTCTTCCTGGATGTAGATTCATCGAACACGAGGTAAGTTACCACTCAACTTTGAGCACATCGCACGTTTGATAATAAAGTGGTATACATATTTTCCTTATAAAGCTTATTGCATGATAAAATCCCCAAAAAACTTATATTGGGAATTAAGTCTATGTATTAATAAACGTGCGAAACGAAGATATGTTAATAAAATGTATGTAATTAAATTTCTTTATCAGCACAATTGGAAATTTCTTAACGGAAGAAGAAATTCCTTTCGATAACGAAGCATCGAGTTCATTTATGAACTTAAGCGGCATCAAATCCTCAACGCCAGCTACTGCAGTGCCTCGGAAAAGTAAGAGCAATGCTGTAGAATGTGAGCTGCTTACCACCATGAAAAGTGTTAGAGCATCCGCTGAGCGCAAGTCTGCTTTTCGAATATTTTTGGACAGCATCGCCCTTACCGTTGAAGAAGCACAATTGGATGTTTCGCAGATATCGCAGTTACAAATGGGTATACTTCAACTTGTCCAATGTGAAATTAATATTTAATTATATACTTCATCATATTGCTTTTAAGCTGGATCGCCATAGCATGCGGATATGTATGGGTGCATTCCAAAACGTCAAAATACAAAGCATCAGTCTCTTTTATTGCTAAGTGTGCCTTTGACAAATAATTTTGATTTACAAATACTTATGTCGACTCCTACATGGACACATGAAAACGTATGCAAGTTGTATGTACGTATTTTAACTTCTATCGAACATCTTTTCTAAAATATTACTAAACCTGACTATGAAATATGTACCTTACTATTAAATAAGTACCCTAATACATATGTAATATGTACCTTACTATTAAATATGTACGCTAATATGTAATATGTACCTTACTATACATATCGCTCATTTACTAAAAGGCAGTCAAAACTAAAAAAAAAGAATTTCTCAGGAAAAGTGTTTAAAGGAAACAGAGATTGTGACAGTCTTTTAGGGCCGTTTGCACCATGTCTAACGGAAGCCCTAAGAAGCATGCAGCCTCAATAGGGTCGGCCCACAGGACAACGGCGTTAGGTTTGTTGGGTTTTCCGGGCATACGACGAGATGTTTCTAGTCATGGGGTGTCTCTCCACATGCCGGACACTCATTTGGCACATCTGCGTCTAATCTGCTTAGGTATGAGTTGAACCTGCTACAGTAGCCAGAGCGAATTTGGGCTATTGTGGTTCTAGTCTCCCGAGGCAGATGAAGCTCCGCATCGTCGATGTCCGGTGGTGGTGCGCTTAGA